AAGCATAGCTATGACATTCAATAACTTTGGGAATAGTCAAATTATGTCATCACCAAGACCTTTAATTTTCCAGTAAATACAATTGGAATAATAATACCTTCTTCACTAATTTGGTGTGAAAATACATGTAAAATAGCAAGTGTAGTGTAATCATGTGAGGAGAGCATCATAAACACACCCCCTTTAATTCATTACTGAATAATTGCAGCAGACTTTATACAGCATAAGAATATCAATCTGACAAAACTAAGGTATTGTCCGATCAAGATAATACTAATGAATCATTTGTGTGTGTTTATGCTTCTGATGTAAATTAAGTTTAAACTTCCTTTTTATATATCTTTCTTACCCAGGAGAAACTACCCTCATTCTTTTAACTTCAACTCCTCCATCCACCTGTGTGCTTCTATACCAAGTGATTTTATAATATTTAATTGGGTATATGCAAATATTTTTATGATAATTTTAGTGTTGTATGTTAGATATGGTCGTTCTGTTCATGCTGTCTCATTGTTTATATTCAGTGGCAGCTAGATAAAAAACAAATAAACTAATCATGAAAAGCATGCTATAATGGACAATAATGACAGACAATATTTCATATGTAATAGCTATTTCCACATGGGAGCATTGGTATGTAAAAGGATATATTTATTTTATTTTTTTTTATTTCAGCATATTATGGGGGTACAGATATTTAGGTTACGTATGTTGGATACATTTATTTTTTTTTTCTTTACCACATAAGAAATAATATCTAGTAGTTCTGGTTCTGAAATGGATGCCATAAATTTTAGGTTCAGCAATCTCATTTGACCACTCTAAACAAAAATGGACCATCTGCTTTGGCTTGTTAAGATAAAATCATTTTGTTGATCCTTCCAGGCATGCATGTTTCAATTACAACTCGCCCCCAAATTACTAATAAGGGTCTCTCGTTGGATAGTTTTTGTCACCGTTATTCAATCCTCTTATAGTTGACTCCTACCTTTTTTTGTTACAATTTGTGTTTAGGAGAAAAAAAAAAAACACTCCTTATGAATAATACAACACTTTAGAGTAAACATAATACTTTAACTGGTATTTTTATACCTAAATATAACCATCTGAAATATTTTTAAGTATTAGAAAACACTGGACGATTATTGTTGCATTGTATAAGCAGACATTTGGTTGTGTAATGCCATTAACACAAAATCAACTATCTAGGGGTAAGCTGATCTCTAAGCTAAAGTTGTTACGATTTTTGTGTGTGTGTGTACTGAAGAATGCATTATTTTTAAAGGCTAACTTTGGAGATATAATAGTCAATTTGGGAAATAACTTTAAAGTAACTAAAAA